GCATGGTACCTTTCAGAGCCAAAGGCCATGTTTATGTTAAAGCACTTGTGGCGGGCACTTCAAAAGAAGAGTCAGAAAAGATGCCAGGAAAGCACCCTGCTATGAATGGAGCCCGCAGCACATGATCCCAAGCTGCATGAGCTGTCTGGTCGTGAAGGGACTTCTACTTTGCATAACAGAGGTCCCCAACATCTCCCTCTCTTTGATTTAAATATGAAGAAGTGCCATGCCAGCCCTAAGGGTCAACTCATTTCATCTCGGGAGAATCCAAAATTTGATAACTGACCATGACCTGTTTCCTGTAATGATTTTTAGCAAATGGCAGTAACTATCAGCAGAGAAATCTTAAAAAACAATGAGCAAGCACAATACACAGTATTATCAAGGGGTGGGAGCCATGCAAACAAGGGATTGCTAAGCCAAATAGATTACAAAGTTTTGAGAGTGTTAACATTGGTTTCAACAACATTTGATTCAATTACAAAGAAACAGTACTTTTCCCAATATCACATAGTCCCCATGTTCAGCAGTTATCAAGTCCAATGTTCTTTTATTGTGAAGTATAGTTTTGGTGAGAAAGTTTATTTGTTGTTGGAGAAACTTCAGGCTGTCAGTCACTGATGTCACAGCTTGTCTCAGCTTAGAGCAGAATCAGATGCAGCTTGCTGTCATAGCAACGTCTCCAGCATCCAGTGTAAGTTCGGTCTCTGCCAGCGGGGGGAGGAAGGTCTTCTCTCTGCTTGCAGCTGTATAGGAGAAAAAAGCTTCTCACACCTGAAATGTAATAGTTAACTAGGTGTTTGAAACCACTTAGATGAGAGTCAGTGAAGTCTTTTTCTGCTCCTGGGTAGAGAAGGGTGGTAGCTGGTACTGTTGTCAAAAAAATCTATTACTGGATACACAAAAGAAACAGGCATTGGGGTAGGTGGGAAGAAAGTTAAACTTGTTTCAGGACATAGTATCTGGTCCTCTGTCTTTCCTGTGGAATAACATTGTAAATTAACACAGACTTGGCTGCAGCTGTGAGCTGTTGAGAGACATGAAAGTTAGCTGTGGGGTACCTAGAGAATACATCTAAGAAGAATTTTGTTATTACTTTAATGCTCCAGAGATTGTCACATGGATCTGATTCTTTTCTAGAAAAGTAAAATCTCTAGAACATGGTATTATGGAGAGTGGTGGCTGTCTGAAGTGTTGGTGCTAAGCAGGGTAAAGACTGCCATGAGAATGACAGAGAAAGGAGCTCCAGGAGGACATTTGTGTCGTGCAGTTTCCACTAGGTCATGGATCTCTCTCCACCTGATCCTGTGTGGCTTTGGGTGACGTCGCTGCCTCTTTCTTTTCTTTGTCTCTGTCAGGGTCATGCAAGCCATCTTCTTCATGGGTGGGGAGATTTCTTACATTTCTAGCTGGAACCCAGATAGGTTTTGGTTGGTCCTGTGGAAAAACACAAGCAAATCCTCTCCCTGTTGTTAACAATGGATCTGGTCCTTTCCAGAATCCATCAAAGGGGTCCCTCCATTTAACCATGATGGGTGGTACTGGGTGTGTTTGAGCCCAGTGTCGGGTGATGGGAGGAACATCTGTCCCTCTAATATACTTTAAGTGCGTCAAGGGTAAACAAGGCTAATGTTAATTGAATATTGGGAGAATATGTTGTTTGAGCCTGTCTTTTTAATTGGTCCTTTAAGATTTTGTGTGACCTTTCCACAATGGCTTGTCCCTGTGGGGTGTAAGGGGTGCCAGGGTGA